CAACATCAACAAGAAAAAGAAGAAGAACAACAACAACTGCAACGATAATAATAATAACAACAGCAACAACAATAATAACAACAACGACAACAACAACGACAACAACAACGACAACAACATCATCAACAACAACAACTGCAACGATAATAATAATAACAACAACAACTACAACAACAACAACATCAACAACAACGACGACAACAACAAAGACGACATCAACACAAATTTTGAACTGAGATCCACTTCAACAAGAAACAGCCGCTAAAGCAATGAAAATTTTGGCAGGATAGATTTAGCAAAAAATAAAATAAAATAATAATAATATTAATAATAATAAATAATAATAATAATATAAACAATAAACAATAAACATTAACATTCACACTAAAAACAGCACACAAACTAACACAGCATAGAAAAAAACAACAAATAATTTGAAAGATAAGAACATTAACCCATACAACAGCCCATACGTAAACAACAATACAGACAACAACGCAAACAACAACACAGACAACAACGCAACAACAACACAGACTTCAACACAGGCAACAACACAGACAACAACACAAACAACAACGCAGACAACAACACAGACAACAAAAACACAGCACAAACCACAACAACAACAACTCGAACATGAGCAAAACAACAAAAACGACATGACAGCAACAGCATTAACGTCAGTTACATCAACAAAAACACGTTGATGTAACATATTTTTAACATCAAAATAGCAGAAAGAACGAATAAAAAAAAATTCAGTTTTTTTTTTTTTTTTTTTAGTGGTAATTCATCATTCCCGTGTTTATTTGAGTTTCTTCTTTGTTTTTTTCTTGGCTTTTGTTAGCAAAGTTTTTCTACTTTGCTGAAAATAGTTCATATCGGTTATCGGATTGCAAGCCCGCTTCATTCATTCATTCGTTCGTTCGTTCGTTCATTCATTCGTTCGTTCGTTCGTTCGTTTATTCATTCATTCATTCAATCGTTCAATCGTCCACTCATTTACTCTTATTCAACCTTTCTTTCATTCATTCATTCTCTTCCTCTTTCACTCGCTCACTCAACCTCAAACTCCCTTACTCACTTTCTCACTCATTCAACACTTATGGAGAAGCATTCATCGCATGGAAACTTTGTTGTTGAATTTATTTCTCAATTTCTATGCTGCAGTAGTTGTAGCAGCAACAACATCAGTAGTCGTAGAAGCAAACTGCAAAAGAAGAAGCTGTAGTATTAGTAGTAGCAGTAATAGTAGTTGCAACTTCGACGTTATCTGAGTATCTTTCTTGTCAAGATACTTGTCCATTCAAGCAGACTCAACTTGTAAACTTGTAAAGGGTTGAAGATCATGATGGGTAATCTAATTTGGAATAAAATGGTTTTCTAAGGAAATTGAACATTCTATTGCATAAATTCAGTTATTGACATTTTTTTCTGTTTAAAATATGAGACGGAATATTACTATCAATAACTAATAATATTAAAATTAATATAAGTTTGGTGAGTACAATAAACAAAGGGTGGGGCTATTTACCAGCATACAACACCTTCTTATGGGTTGAAGCAGGGATATGCAAAGAACCTCAATTTTTTCAACTTTTAATTATTTTCAGTAATGTCTCTCCTTGCTCCAAACCACATAACTAGAATAATAGGACTAATCGATCAATTCGATCTATCGGTCGGGCTATTTGTTGTGCTTGGATTGTTGGCTTACGAAATTGCACGGATTTTAACGAGCAAGCTAAATGAAATATTTACTTGATTTAATATGCTAAAAACATTGTAGTAATTTTATTTAATTTTAATAATGATTAATAGAATTATGTATTATTAAATTATTTTTGTTAATTTGAATATAAAAATTGCTTTTGGTCCGGTGAAATCCGGTGGCTTACTGAAGCCGAAGGTTGGCTTAGTAGGATTGAACTTTAGTCACCCTTTTTTTACACTATTCGATCATGTTAAAAATTGGTTTGCTTATAAAATAAACGGCCTAAATAAATCAAAATTGTTATTTGAACAACTATCTTCATTATATTCAATGAATATTTTACATTCTGCTGGTGCCCATAAGAAACTGGCTGCTGAAATCATACGTTGGCTTACAGCAGTGGCTTACAGGGTTTCATAGAACTCTTACGATAGCACTTTTTGTACATATAATGCTTTAAATAAATCAATATATTCATATCACAATTATTTTTGTCAGTAAAAATATAGAAATTGCTTTTGTCAGGTGAAAAACAGTGGCGTACTGAAGCCGTAGGTTGGCTTAATCGGAATTTTTTTCATGTATACAATACTATGAGATAAATCAATCAAACAATCAAACAATCAGTCAGTCGGTCGGTCGGCCAGCCAGCCAGCCAGCCAGCCAGTCAGTCAGTCAGTCAGTCAGTCAGTCAGTCAGTCAATCAATCAACCAACCGATCAATCAACCGATCAATCAATCAACTAAATTGAATGAACCAAATAAACAAAAATAAAAACAAAAATAAATAAAAAAATTTGCAAGGGCTGTTCAAACTCGA